AATTATGAAAGGGGGAGAAATTTCCAGCCAAAATTTGAACAAAATAATGTGACGGAAAATAATGTGACGGAGAATAATGATGAAAAGGCATGTTATCGATGTGGAAGGACGGGACATTGGGCACGAAATTGTCGTGCTCCGAGACACGTTGTTGATAATTATAACAATTCCCAAAAATCAAAAGATAAGAATATAGAAACCAATTTTATGATTGGGAAATCTTCTGAAAATGATGCAACACGTGTGGATGATGACTATGGCATCGATGACATATTGAACCTGGATTTTGCTGATGCAGTAGTTGAAGACCGAGCTGGAAATGACCAAGAGAATAACTGATGATCATGTTTTTATTGCTTTCTTAGTTTTGTCGTATTTGTGTGTTTTTATCTGTATTTCGACTTTAATCAATAATAAATGTTGTTTTTTCTTTTAGATCATGGATCGATCTCGTATCCAAAATGGAGATATATGTCTTGCAGATTGTGCAACTACTCATACTATACTCAAGGACCGAAAATATTTCGTCAACTTGAAATTAAATAAAGCAAAAGTAAACACAATATCTGGAAATGCAAAGATAATTGAGGGTTCTGGAAAAACCATATTTTTTATGATGGGAGGTACAAAATTTACATTGAATGATGCATTATTCTCCCCAAATTCAACAAGAAACTTGTTGAGTTTTAAAGATATCCGAACAAACGGATACCATGCTGAAACAATGAATAATGGGGGAGTTGAATATCTTTGCATTACCTCAAATATTGCGGGAAATAAATGTGTTGTGGAGAAATTACCAGCTTTATCCTCGGGCTTATATTACCCCCGCATTCATATTATTGAGACTTATGTTGCAACAAAGTCACAGACGAATGGAATGTTTAAACTTTGGCATGATCGACTTGGTCATCCTGGCTCGATAATGATGCGAAGAATTATTGAAAATTCTAGTGGACATCCATTAAAAAATCAGAGGATACTGCAAACACATGAATTGACATGTGCCTCATGTTCTCAAGGGAAATTTATAATAAGACCATCACATACTAAAGTCGGACATAAATCACCATTATTTTTGGAAAGGATTCATGGTGATATATGTGGACCTATTCATCCACCTTGTGGTCCATTCATATATTTTATGGTGTTAATTGATGCCTCTAGTAGATGGTCTCATGTGAGTTTATTATCCACTAGAAATGTGGCATTTGCTAAATTACTTGCCCAACTTATTAAATTAAGGGATCAATTCCCAGATTATATTATCAAAAAAGTCAGACTTGACAATGCTGAAGAGTTTACATCTCAAGCATTTAATGATTATTATATGGCAGTGGGAATTGATGTTGAACACCCTGTAGCACATGTTCACACTCAAAATGGTCTAGCAGAATCATCGATTAAACGACTGCAGCTTATAGCCAGACCATTGATAATGAGGACAAAACTCCCCACTTCAGTATAGGGACATGCTATTCTGCATGCAAATAATCTAATTTGCATAAGACCAAGTGCACACCATACATACTCGCCATTACAGTTGGCATCTGGTCGAGAACCAAATATTGCCCATATAAGAATTTTTGGTTGTGCAGTATATGTACCAATTGCTCCGCCCCAACGTACAAAAATGGGGCCTCAAAGAAGGTTGAGAATATATGTTGGATATGAATCTCCATCAATAATCAAATACCTTGAGCCAAAAACAGGTGACGTTTTTACAGCTCGGTTTGATGACTGTCATTTTAATTGAAGAATTATTCCCCCCTTTAGGTGGGAATGAAAAGTCAATTGAGAGAAATATTGAATGGAGAACATCATCAATATCATATCTTGATCCTCCCACCAAACAAAGAGAGCAAGAAGTTCAAAAGATCATACATCTGCAGAATATTGCAAATAAATTGCCAGATGCATTTACTGACACAAAAAGAGTGACAAAATCACATGTTGCAGCTATAAATGCCCTTGCTCGAATTGAGATTACAAAAGAAATGGCAAATAACGATGTGCCAAATGGATTAAAGACACGCTTGAAACGAGGAAGACCAGTGGGGTCTAAAGATAAGAATCCTCGAAAGAAAAGAGAAATTCAAGATTTGAATTTGGAAAAGAATCAAGATGATGGATAATGCAAGTGTAAGCGTCCGGGTCCGGTTTGGAGTAGATCGATTCTTGCCCTTG